TAGGGAAAACAGCCTCAGCTAGTCTGCTAAACATACTAAATCTTAAATTTCTGGGATCAGATCAGTGGCATATGATGGCACCTGCAGGGCAGTCAATAAATATTTAAATAAAATAAAAACAAGGGTTTTTTGTTTGTTTGTTTTCTTTTATACAAAAAGCAAAGAAAGTTTAAATTTATCTGGGGCGCCACAGATCAATGTCCTTGTTAAGGCTTATGCATGCAACTCACGAAATCTTAGCAAAAAAAGCTGCACCTGAGGCTTGACTTTTATTGTTCACCCTGTCCATTCCAAATATAGTGCTGCTGATTTGTTCAAATAAAATTCCCATTATTTGTTCAAATAATATTCCCTATCTTAGGATGCAGTAAACCGAGACACAAAATATTCTAGCTGGAACACCAGCAATTTAACAGTCAGTCAACCAGTTAGTTCAAAGGAGAGTTTTTAAATTCATTTCCAACAATCTAAATAATATAGGATAAAAAAAAAAAAGCTGCATTTTTGATCCTTGGGGCTACAAGCACTGGTTTAACAAGTATACGAAAATAAACCTCAACAATTTGTATCACTTGCACATTAGAGAATATTACAAAAGTTGTGTGATTACATTAATAGGAAACTCTCATAGTATCAATATCTTACTCTCTTCTATCCAAAGAGAACATAAGTGCAAAAATATCAGCATTTTCTTCGTGAAATTTAAAGAAAATCCCTTTGACGACTCACAGCCAGCAAGAAGTCCATGCCTCCCCCAATCATCTTACACTATAAAACTACAAAAAATGCTAGCATCACACTACTGAATGTTTTAAACCTAGGTGAAGAAATACTTGTTTAGAGGGTTCGATATTCTGTTGAAGATGACCTAGCACTAGGTTCCTCTCTGAGGAGATAAAGAATTAAAAAAAAAAAAGTCAATAATTTTATACAAAGGCCCACAACGCAGCATCTATAATTCTCACATCAATTTCTCAATTTTTTCAGATCCTCCACTTGAAAGGGCATTGCTGATGGAAGCTTATGTTTCGCAGTACAGCTAAGTAGGATCCAGAAACAACTAAGGATACTGTAATGCTATCTAAGAGTTTTTCACCACAAGTATACCACAAGTATATGGTTCTATTCCTTCCTTCTTTCCTTGTTTTGTATAGAGTCAGCTTGTCCATTAGTACGTGTTTCTGACTTAGATTTCTGAAGCCTTCAGAGCAATTGGCAATAAACTCTCCTCCATGCTATTTAAAGAAATCATGCCTTGGGAAAGCTCAAGACTGAGAGATATTACTCAGTCAAGTCCAGTCCATGCCTCCTGTCAAGCTAGTGATAATAACAGGCTGCTTATGATCCAACCTGACCTACACAACTTGCTTCTAGCAAGATTTCAGAATGAATGAGGTAGCCTAAAAGAGTTGTGCAAAGCACAGGAGTCTACCAATCCATTCAGACAACTCTAAAGTAGCATTGTAATGGCCACAGTATTTTCAGCTCCTTCTGATAGCTAAAGTTTCTTATAAATCTTTAATACTCACTTTAGACACCATCCCAGAGTGACTTTAGGAGAAGTACAGACACTGTTTATCCTGCAGTGATTAAACTAGGGAACAATCAGCTTTATAAGAGTATTGTTAGTACAGAAATACTCGAGGTTGGGTTTTGTCGTTGTATTACAGAATGAAAACTTATATTACAAGTCTTAAAACTAGAATGTAAAGCAATCATAAATATCGGAGGAAGTCCAGTCTGAAGAACCACAAGCACAGAACCACCAGGATTTAGGCGTAATCGCAGTCAAGCTCTAAAAATATTTACAGTTTAGTATCTATTCTAAAAAGAAAAAAAAAAAGGAAAAAAGGCACATTTCGTAAACAACTTTAGTGCTAACCACTTACCTCATTAAAGCATAATTTATTTTGCTGATGCTGCAGGAAAACTCAAAACAACTGCACAAACATAAATGGAAACGGAGGACATTTCAGTTTAAGTCCTCAAACAGGCAACTCTCCCTAGACAGGTCATTTGCATTGTTCTGGATCTTGCTTTGCAATAATACAAGAGAGTTGTTAGATATCAATACCCAAAGACAAGGCCATATCATACTCCTAGTAAGAATTAGCACCATAGACCCAGTTCAGAAGTTCTAATTTAACATTGGTAAAGGCAGCTGAGGTTCTGCAGCTGAATTTATTCACTCTATAAATTGTTCTGGCCTAACGAAATACTAGCTCTACCTAAAATCTTTAGATAGCAAAAACTCAGGAAAAGAAGTAAAATCTGAAATACTCACCAATGGATTAACATATACATTCTTTTGCAAAGGTATTTTCTTTGTGTTGCTTTTGAAACACAGTCTTAGAACTACTAGTTACTTGCAGTCTCTCACGCTCATTTTGTTGCTCAAAGAATACAAGGAGGAATAAAAAAAAGTTGACTCAAACTTTTATTCCATCTCAGGTCCTATAGTTCAGAAATGGAAACATATCACCACGTTAAGGCCAGACACTAACCACATTTACCTACTTTTACCATTAAAATATTTTGAAAATTTCAACAGTGGATTTTTGAGAAGTAAAATACGTGGGAATGATCACTATTAATAACTGGGCACACAATCAAGTTTGTGCCCATAAGAATTAAATTCACTTAGACTGCAATCTAACACTGCTTTATTTAAATATATACACATATACACATGTATCTAGGCTCCTACACTTCTTACTAAATTTACACACTATTCTGAGGAGTCCAAGCTTTTACTTAAAAAAAAAAAGTTTCTACAGTTGCAGAGCTAATCCCTGACAAACGTAGTGAAGACTAGCACTTATCAAAACAGAAATATCTACCCATTACACCATTCCTACCCTTCTCATCTTATCAATGGGCAAAAAATACTGTTCTAATTTAACATTCCCAACTGGCAACATAAAAATCAAGAAATGCTGAATACTATGTTCAATGAAATAATGAGGTTACTTTGTTAAAATAAACCAGTCAGTAAAGGCTAGATTAGAAAAGAAGAGGGAGCAGTGGAAAAGATTTTGCTGAAACATAATTACTTAAATTTAAAATTGTGATCTTGAGAAACTCTTGCTCAACTGCCTTGCCAAAGGCACTTCCCTTATTTGAACTGAAAAGTTCCCAAGTTGTCTAGAGTTGCATCTTTGAATATGCCCAGAGGCTTTTTCGTCTTCAGCAGCTCAACATCTAGGTCATACCCAAGTTCAAACAGTAAACAGAAACTAGGCATTCTTCTGCCTAGGACAACTCAGAGGTTGACTGTACCTGTTAGTTTTAACTAAAGTGACTATAAGAGTAACTGTACAATTTTTCATTCATTGACATTTTCACCCACTCCTAAGCACAAAATCCATCTGCAAGAAGAAAACAAAGTACAACATAGACACATAATGTTTGGGTTTATTACATGTCAATATGACTGCTAAGAAGGGGAAGGAGATCACTCTGCCCTATAAAACAGCCTAGTGATTACAGCTGTCATCCTGAAAGAGTAAGATCAAGGAAGGTTCAAACCTTCCTTTGAAACATAGGTCTTTCAAATGTCTCAGGAGGGCACCCAAATTTCCAGCTAAATTATTCTGTAAACTCCATCTAGTCTTCTCCCCCATCCACCACATCCATCCACTCACTAGTTCAGAGCTCAAGACTAATCTAGCAGATTATCACAGAGATGTGGGGGTCAACTACTCCAAAGACGGTTTGTCTTACTCGATATCTATTTTAATTTTACATTAAATACCTATCTTAAAAGGAAGATAAAACTTGGTTCTCTCAGACAATAGAGCACTCAAGATCCTCTCCTGAAGTTATGAAGAGGAAAATTGCTTCCTTACAGTTCTGAGGAAGTCTAGAAATTTGGAGGAATCCCCCCCTGCCACCAATATTTTCCCATTACCTAATCCTTATAGCATCATTACAAGCTGCATGTTAAGCGTACCAACATTAGGTAGCTTCCACTGCTTCGGATCCTGTTCTGAACTAGCTTTCCCTGGGCACTGTCTTAGACACTTACTTTTTAGGTAATTAAAATTAGTTCTAATAAAGGATGCAAGTGTAAAAGTTTAAGTTTGACATCCATCTTACTGCACTGAAAATATTTAATTTCAGTCATATTTCTAATTTAACACGTTCTTTAAATAAATACGTGTTCTATACAGAATGTATAAGGGAAGTGAGGCGTTTTGTTTGAATTTCACTTCTGTGCTACCCAAGCTTGATTTTAGATTTCATGCTGCATTACAATGCTCTATAGATAGGCAACACAACGCCTACAGATAGGCTAGTCCAACATCTACCTTTCTTTATAAAGGAATATAGTATAAAACATTTAAGAAACATTAAATTCAACTTTCAGTGAAATGGTAAGATTGCTGATAAAATCAGGTAAACAGTAACAGCTAAAACATACATCTTGGACATCAATTAAGCATTTCAGCCCAGAAGAGACACCTGTTTTTGGCAGTTGTGAGAGTACCCCAGCATGTCCATTTAGGCCAGACCACTGATGCAGAACAAACAACATAAACACAAAACAAAGAACTGTCCCTGACTAAAAGGTTTTATTTAGCTCAACCTCTAAGCATGTAAGTGTTGCAGTAGTACTGCACCAGAGTCCCTAAATCACTACCGATCTGGCAGTGACTTCACACATCAGCATGACATCAGGTATAACTGACATCACTTTAAACATCATATACTGTTGATATACTTTCAGATTAATCATTTATTATCAGATTTTTAAAACCTAACAATTCATCTTTATATACAAGGACAGTGACATACATACCGTGAATAAGCTTAGGACTCTAAGGTAACGGGATCAGGTCACTGAATGCAACTGCAAATTTTAAGGTCTTTTTAAGGAGTGAACAAAAACAAGTTTAGCCTGTTCAGTTTAAATACATGATAGGTGCAAAAGGCATGAGCTTTAAAGTTCATTTATCTTATGTAAACATTCCCTTGCACACCAGTGAGAAATCAACAGAACGCTTTTGTCTTAACGTGGATTCACATTCTTACTGATCTTCTCAATGTGACTCAGTAGTTTTAACAATGCAGATGGATTATAGGGGAAAAGATTTCTTCTCTGCAATCTTGAAATAGCTATTTGCAGTTCTTCCAAACATGATGTTGATTTGTAAAGCATTATTCTTCGGGGAATGATGTTATCTGAAGACACCCTACAAGCCAGAAAGGATGAGGTATTAGACCCCTTTTGTTTCAGAGGCAACACTTCAGACTTGAGTGTATTGTGTTTATCATCTATGCAGCTGCAAACAGCTTCCCTTATCTTTGCCTCGCCCTCGCCCTCGCAATTTGAAGGCATCTGCTTTGTGTTTACCAAACACTCTTTTCCAACCGTCTCTAATTCAGAATCTTCTGAGCTGTCATAATTAACAAGGCTTTGAAGAGAATCCAGCAGAGGCACACTATCAGTGCACTGCAATGAGTTAGACTGGTTGGACTCTGCAACTTCATTATCACCTTGCTGCGTTGCAAATAGTAAGTAATTGTGAGAAGAAGCCAAAGACAGAGTCTGCGGATCTGGTTCGCAACAAGCATCAGTCATATAGTTTTGTTTTCCTTCAGGGGGTGGCTTGTCAGAAGAAACGGATTGAAAAGTGCCAGGTCTCGTATCAAAATGGTTACAGACGTTGACAAAATGGTGCCAGTCTTCTCTCAGAAGTTTTAAATACCTTACCAAATACTCTAGAAAACAAGTTTCCGATGAAATCAAAAAATCTAGAAGAACTGTGGAATCAAATGCAATATTTTTTAGGAAAAATAAAAAGATACAGTGGGGATTATAGCCACTTGCATGAGTAAGGTAGTTCCAAGTTTCCTCCTCTTCTAGGCTCAAGCTACGAGCAGCGTCACGTCGTAACCTGAAAAGTAGTTAGTGAAATTGATTAAATTCAATGGAAATTAAGAGCTGTTTAAAAATAGGTATTTTCATAAAACATTACTGCTGATCTTTTTTGGTGTTCTCAAACACAGACTTTAACAGCATGCATACCAGATCCTGCTGCAAATAACTGTTTCTACAGTGATACATTTCCAGATAAACATTTTAAATCAACAAAATTATGTTTAAAAATAAGCAGAAAAGCACCTGCTGGAATCAAAACAGAGGAATTTGCTTTGATAGAATGGCTTTCTGTGCAAGACCCACAGTTTTGAAATTTGTTCCTCCCTACGGAATGTAACATTTTGAAATCCAATAGCCCACCAGACACATCTGTTTTTGTCAAAAAGTAAACACCACAAAGAAAATAAAGTTTAGATACCAGAATGAGAAAGAATTCAGGCAGGTGGAAGATCAGAGAGTTTAGGAACAGAAGGCACTTAAATCAGGCTTTTTAAAATTGTACTCCTCCTTAAGATGCATTCTGGAAGCAGCAAAATTACTTACAACATGAATTGTTTAACATTTTTGTAAATCTAAACACAGACTAACTCTCAGGATGCTAAGCCTACCGGAAAAAGCAGCCTACTTGGATTTACGTTCCTGAAAAAAAGTTTATATTGCTAAGATACTATCTGCAATATCTTGAAATTTGAAGCTTGAGGGATAAGAGCTTGAGCTCTTATAAATTAGGATAGTACCTGGTATGAGAATTTAAACAACAATGAAGCAGTGAATGTCCATGACAAATCTATAAACACCACGATTCAGATGTTAGTAACAACAGTGGGGTTTTTGCTGTTTTTAAACCAAACAGGAATTAACATGGGCCCAATCCTTAGAGGGCTACTATGCCACAAGTCCCTGAATTCTTGGACTTTAGTTATAATATTGCATTCTTCTCAGACTCTCAATGTTGAAAGAAAGCAGTCTTGCCTTTTGTATAATTACTATTTCAGATCTGTGAAATCAATTATTCTGGATTAACAATACAATCAAGTATTTGACAGAAAACTGTTGCACAACTCTCTCACGTCAATCTAAAACACTTAATCAAGTTATCAGAAAAGTTAACAGCTCTTACACCATACATTACTACATAGTTTTGAGTCTTATTTTAAAAATATGCCTTCTTTACGCAGTCATCAATAAAAATGTCATTACATATTTTGCAACAACCTTATTAAATTATTCTTCATAGTTCTATCAAATAAAAAGTATACTAACCTATCAAATTTTAAATATATGAGTAACAATGCTTTAGCAGCTTCCCACATATCATCATCTTGCTCTATGAAAATCAAGGAAAGCCATTCACAGTGATGTACAACTGGGTGAGAACATGAGGAAGATGTCAGATGACCCCTCCAGAAAGTCAACAGCTGGGACATGGAACTCTGAAACTCTCCTGAAAACATTAAAAAAAAAAGAAAAAGTAACTGAATTTTGCTATAGTTTTTCATTACTAAACAAGATACATACTTTTTAAATTTAACAATGCATAACATTGAATGTATTTATCATTCTGTAGCTCAACAGATTTAACACAGCATCATCAAATTTTGTAGACTAGTTCTTGCTTCTCGGTACCAAAGAAATAAAGAAACATTTTGCAGAAAGCCACAAAGAGTTATCTAAACTTAAATTCAACGGGATGGCTATTCTTCGTAACTCTACATGTATCAATGTTTAGATGGCAATGTCAGCTGTCATACATCCTGCAGAAAATGAGTTCACTCATTAGGTATAGCACTCTTTTTTTCTCCCAAAGATGAACATAAAACTTAAGGATGCAGGCTATTCATAAAACAACAATATTCCCGAATGCCAGTAACTCAACTCTCTTGGTGTTCAAGAAAAAGTAATCACAGGGGAACAAAAACTTGTGGGTATAAGAGGATTCACCCTATTAGACCTAACATTGCAGCCTAATGAATAAGATTATACTTTCAAAAACTTGTAGATATAAGAAACCTATAAAAATTTAAATACATCTATACAGCTGGGTTTTCTGTTTTTCTTTAGCTTCTTGGTTAGGTAGTTTCATTGGTATGTGGCAAACTAAAGACAGGTGAATTGTAATCTAGTCAAAGCCACAGATTTAACGATCCAATATGACCACTTGGTGAGATTTCATCTTAGTTATTCCTTCCCACATGAAAGAATAATCCAATTTTAATGTTTTAATGGGGTTGAAGCTAAAACCCCTTCTGTGTGTTTCACTGTAGATAATCAGCTGCAGTCCCTGGGAACAAACTATCATTCCTCCAACAAAATAAGGTATCAGGCTTATAATACAGTCAAAATTAAACCTATTCTTTATAAAATAAAATCTTCAATGATATACAGTCATTACGTTTCTCAAGTGCATATGGGCTTGGAGTAAAGGTATGTTCATGTGATGGTACAAAATCCTTGTTAAAAGTCCTGAGTTCACTGACCTTAAGGTAAATCTTCAGTATTGATTTCCCACCCTCTAAACATTGCACTCCTGAATGGGAAAACCACCTCAAAACCATTTCAGTGCAGTGGTTTACTCTTGAAAGTCATATAATTGAGAAATAGACTGTTTTCCATAAGTCAAGAAACTTACCTCTTCAATACTAATGGAATACTATAAAAAGATTCTTCATGTCTGAACTTAGGTACCAGCTTTTCACATAACGTAGCATATATTCAACATTTAGAAGACAGGGGTGGAGGGGAAAAAAAAAAAAAAAAACAGTGACATACATCTTCATCCAGAAGGTACTCCTTAGGTAAGAATTCTCATGCTGCTGGAAAGTACATTATGGCTCAAAGAGCAAAGATGCATGGTTTATATAAACAGTGATTAATGCTTTTACAAGACTTCTTGCAACATGGGAATCAATTTGACTCACAAAATCAGCATTATGCGGCTTGCCTGAATGTTTAAGATTCACTTTTCCTCCTAGCAAAGACATACAAACAGCAACTTATCTTAGTTATTAATAGTCACTATTCAGATTGAAATTCTTCCCTGTACATCAAAGCTATCTGGAAATTACTCTCAAAATTGAAAGGAATTAAAGTTAAGTCACTCTAATTCATATTAATAAAGAAAGATGGGATCAACTAGCTTCCCGGAAGGGAAGGTAGCATATTAAAGAACAAGCACTAGAATGCTAACCACTTCGTTTAATGTTACTAAAATAGAAGCACCATTATTTTCAACTTGAAAATCTTCATGATGGCTATGGTATTTGAACTGAACTTAAAAAAAAAAAAAATGTTTGTGGCTTGAGTCTGGAAAAAAAAAATCAGACTTTTTCTTTAAGACATACAGATTTTTTTTTTTAAATAGGTATCCAAAATAGTTTTAGGCTACATTTATTCTATTCACTTGTCCTTGGAGGATCTCAGAGTCTCTAGATGTTTTCAGAAGGTGGTCTGTAAGGAAAATCCTCGCTACAAATACTTAACAGCTGTAAGAATGCAACTGGAATCACAAATACGACATCTTCCAAAATCTGGAAAAAGCATCAGAAGCTGTCTTGCAGAATTCTGTAGCTCTTTTGCACAGTCAGATTAAAAAAAAGTGGATTTTATGCTTTTTACAGAACGTAGAAATATAAGAAGTAGAATAACATTTACATCTAGAACTTGTAAAAAATGCCCCAGTACATTTAGAATGCTGTCAAATTTCATCACTGTACCAAAAAAAAAACCAAAACCAAACAAACTGATTTTTCACCACATTGACAACTGGTTGACAGTAAGGAGCGCCTTTCCATTTTGGCCATGAAGTCTGTAACTGAGGGACAGCAAGCTACTTTGATCATACAATTTGCACATCCACGTTCACATGGCTTAGAGTCAGAAGACGTGTATCATACGCCTCCAAAAGGTAAAGAGGCGAGTGGGACTATGCAATTCCCGAGTATCCCACAGGCAGAAGAGAACAGTCTCACCCCAGCACTCCATTATAGCATAGGAGAAGGCTGACTACAACCTGGCTAGAGTGACACAGCAATGCTTTCTCTCCCATCAGGAATGCAAATTACACAGCATTCCCCTGCCCTCCCACTGCCTGCCTTGTGGCATAGCCCTAGCACAAGAGACTTGATCTTCTAATTATTATATGAGTTGGATTATTATCCAACTCATCTCTTCCGTGGAACAAACATAACTCAGGTTGAGCAGGTATGGAAAGTATGGCTAGCACCTACCAAACCATAGGACTAGGCGTATTATAAGTGAGGGTAAAGAACAACACTATACTCCGCGAACTTCCACAGTCTTCCCTTCTTTTATTTCTTCGGGTTCGTTATTTTTTTCCCTTTTCTACCTTTGCTGTTTTCTGCCCTATTACATTATCTGTCTGACAGTAGCAGCTAGTACATTCAATCAAGATAAAAAGGCATAATGGTACTTTAAAGGTCTACCTCCACATTAGAAACCAGGAGAGCGCTACCTGCCCTTCCTTTAGTTCTCCATCCATGAATAGAGTAGATGCTTGTTCTATGGGCTCTCTTCTTTCCCAGCTTGAGAGGAGACCAATTTCCTCAAGCTAGCTCATCTATTTCATATATTAGCAAATGCTCTCAAAAAGAACGGTTTTCAATCCCAAACGCAGCTGTTTCAAGCCCTCCATATTCCTAGGCTAAGGCTAGGATCAAAGGCAAGGAGACAACTAATAAGCAGGACACAAAGTGACAGTGGTAGCAGGTTTTCTGTGTGGCTTCCCTCCTCCCTCCATATTCTCTAACATTCAGTTCATTTAATTTTCAGAAAAATCAATTTCTTCATACTAATAACTTCTAATTCAGTTGAATTATATTTAGTCTCAATGAGCTGTGACTAGAAACATGAAAGTTTTAAGACTCTTACTGCTTGATGAACAAAACAAAAAGAGACTATTACCTTTGACTTCAGCTTCTGTAGCAGAATTCTGAAACTTGAATTCCAATGCTTTAAGCACAACTAGACTTAAGGCTCTGAGAAGGGTTTGGTCAGGACCACCGTGAGTATTATCTCCAGGATGGGGTTCACTGCCTCCAAAGTAGCTCGCCTTTTCACTGAGAGGGATCTGATTAAGCCAAGTCAAATTTACGCCTTGCAGAACAGCATTACTCAGTGCAAGCATATCCTCATATAAACATGGCTTTTGTAAGAACAGTGGTCCACCTACAGCATATTCTCTAGACTTGTAAAGGATACATTTCTTAAGGAATATAATGAACAATTTCTTGAATAAATAATGAACTGATGAGCTAATGAGATTCAGGACATAAGAAACTTTCGCAAATATCACTCTCTGGCATCTCAGTGGTAATTCTAATTCAACTCTGGAAGCCAAAAGAGCTTCAAGCAGATCTATGAAACTGATCAAATTGTTTGCAGCTTCAGAACAAGGTGAAGTATAGTGGTGACTGTCAAAATGATGGAACAAAATGGAATTATAAAATCCTTCAAGCACAGCATCAAGAGGAGCCAACAACTTCTTCAAGATACCTACGGCAACAAGAAGAACGTTACACAGAGATGCACTTGCAGAAGTACAACACAGTCAGCTATAGCACTTAAAAGATCCTCATCAAATAAGCAGCAAACAGCTGATTGTGATTATTTTCAGTTTTTAAGCATGTTAAAAACATTACATTTTTAACAGTACTTTGCCTCCCTCTTTACAACCAAGAAAATAAGCCACTGCCATTGATATTTTCAGACAAGCTGCTCTGGAGGAGATTATAAGTAATTTTCCTCCCCCTAGTGGGCACTCATATTGATAGCATCATAAGTTTGTTACAGTACCTGCTTTAGGTAAAACTTTATCTTTCAAAATGTCCCTGATAATAGCTGTAAGAGTCCACAAACATTCTGCTGCTTGAGTAGTTACAGGAAATTCTGACAGAGTCTTCAAACCAAATGTGAGCCAGGTGACATTTAATGCATTCTAAAAAAATACGTTCAAAAATAATCATGTATGCTTTACAATTGTGCAAATTAAATTCAACCACAATACAATGATTTAAAATTGTAGATTTTAAAAGATGTAAACATAGGCATAGAGTCAAACAGGTGGAAAACGATATCCTCCTACTTTTAAGTATGTAGATCTGTATCTACAGAAGTGAAGTCAAATAACTACGCAATAGAATTTATCTGTATTTTCCAGAAAAGAAAAAAAACCTGCTAATGTCATGTGACCTGCCTCAAATCTGATAGTACTGTAGAGACACAATAATTTAATAATTCCTAGTCCCTTAAAACTTCACAAGAAATATTACAAACGTGCTTCTGAAAGAAATCCCTGTTCAGAGAAGGTACTATGGTGCCTACAATACATATTCATCAAATATACAGTAAGTAGAAAAAATAGCAAATAATTGCAATATTCAGACAACAAAACACAGAAAAGTATTTGATTAACTTTCAATAGGTTATTACCTATTTTTATCACTGCATCAGCTAACAGCTCAATTAACTGTAAACATACTGATAACGTAGCTTATTAGGTTTTGGCAACATCCATACTGCAAGCTTAAAAAGAATGCTGTTTGGGTCTCAGATATGTTTTTCCCTTAAAATAGTTTCATAAACTCCAGATCCTTTATATAGAAAGACATTCCTCCTCACATTCCAAACTTTACTCCCGCTACACATCCAACCTCCCTTCTTTCTACACATTCTCTTAACTTCATGCATCTCCTAACACACTTGAAAAAAAATCTCTTGGAATATTTATTACATATCCTTCCTATCAATCGTTCCTGACCCCAAACCCCTTAAGATGCTCTTTAAGGGAGAACTATCATATAGCATTATTTTGTATAGCTTTCACCTTGTTCCTGATGCTGGGTCTAAAGACAGCTCAACAGAACTGCATGACATTTTGAGGGAACTAACATATATTTCATGCTGAACACCAACAGACTGTAGATCTGCCTTTCAGAAAGTTAGAGCATAATAGACACGCAGGCAACAGATGCAGCAAAGGAGCAGTCCTAATGTCTCTCCATGGGTCTAATCGCAGAATGCACATCTTAAGAAGCACTTATAGATTTTACTGTAGTCATGTAGTCCCTGCTTTTGTGCCATATAAGCACTACAAAAAGGCGGCTCTAGAGTCAAATAGAAGAACCTGAAGGCATACATTCACTAACTCATCGTTTCTAAGTTGTGGAAGGTTATACTCACACTCACCTCTTCCTTCAGCTGGAAATACACAAGAGACGCTAAACTTCTTGACGCCATGTGAGATAACAGCTGATCAGAACTACTGAGGAGACAAATCTGCAGACATGTGAAAAGAATAAAGTATCTAAGTTATATTCCCTTTTTCCCTTTCATAAAAATCTTCCAAAAGTTTGTAAAAGCTTACCAGTTTTGAGTCGATTTTTGTCTCCTTCAGAAGGAGGACAAAGATATCACAGTACTTCCGTCTTGCATCGAATTCAATTTCCTGGGACTGTACTTTAGCCACCATCATCTTGATCAAGGTTAACTGAAGCAGCATCACTTCTCGTGGACACAACGAGGAGTTCATATTTGCAAAGTTATTAGATACATCATCTGTTACAAGGACAACGGTGTCTGAAATATCAGGGTCTTGATGGCTCCTAATACCACTATTAGCAGACGGCAGATGCATCCGATTACACGATTCATCTCTTTCTGGTGACTGTTCAGTGCACAGATTGAGGAAAGAGGTATAATGACGGCTCTCCTTTGCTAGTGGAATGCCTACCAGTACATCCTTATACATCTGCTGTAGCAGAGACATCTCCATAATGAGAACAATAAATATTCTGGAGAACGTCTTATGTCTCCACTGATTATTCCTGGTCACTGCAAATTTGTTTTGAAGTTATTTTTATCCAGTAAGAGAAACAGAAGCACTATTAGGCATTTCTCTTCTAAGATACCTAGAAATAAATATTCCATTGTTACTGAATTTAATAGATAAGCAGGAAGATGCAGAAGAACTACATACATTTTTAGAGTTAATACTACCCTTACTAAACATCACGTGAAAATATACGCTATGTTTTTAAATAGCAAGAGTGATAAACTAATAGTTGCATAATTTTTTTCCCAATGGGACATTTAAATGGCGTAACTTTACAAGAATGACCATGTAGTGAAGAAGTTTATAGTCCCAAGTACGATACTACTGAAACTAAGACTGATTTGCTGGGCCTAATGCAAACAAGAATGACTACTATTAGGGACTTCATCTAAGACCACAAGAAAATTGTGATCAAGCCTTCCTCTATCTTTACATAGCTACAGCTTCCGAAACCTCATTTCTTTTTTGGGATTCCTCCAAAAACAAATTTTTATTTGAACAGGCAATGTTTATTGCTCCACTAAGATTGTGCAGAGCAACACTTCTCAAGAAACAACAAATGGAGACTAAAGAACAAATCTTCTATTCTGCTGCACGTAGACTCAAGGTGAGTAACATGAATATGCTGGAGGGAAGAACTGGGCTCTTAATTTAGTAAGGAGGACGGAACGAAACACTTAACAGAACTCCTTTACATCTACGCCTGCAGAACTCTCGTTCTGAGCCCCTAAATCTTGTAACCCAGAAGAGATGCACAAGACCAACAATGCTACAGGCCTGTAGGCTCAAGGGACCAGTGACTGAGACATTTAAAATTAGAAATTACTTAAAAAAACAAAGTGTTGAAAGCCAGTAAAAATATTTAACCACATTCAGAAAAGTTAAAGAACAGAAAAATCTTTGATCACAAAGTCAATGGAACATTTTGGAATAGCATGAGAAGACTCAGGACAGCTTAAAATGAAAACCTTTCAAGAAAAATCTTGCTCTCTCTGCTTTCAAGTGTGAGTAGCTAAGCACCTACATATTTCCAGTCATTATAAAAGCGGCTAGATAGAAAACAAAAAATAGATAAAAACCAGAAGACAACAACAATATACTTAATACAGCTGAAAAAGAAACCATGTTAATCTTAAAGAGTAATGCTAGTCTGTAATATCAGTCTTTTCAGGACAGTTTTAACACATTATCTACCCAGAACCCTTTTATTAAAAGAAAAGCATTATCTTTATCTACTGCCAAGTTGGGAGTGGGTGTTGTTTTGTATATAGAAATTTATTAATTAAATTTACTAATTAAAGACATTTACTTGAAAGAGGGGGGGAATGTCAAACGACTAAATTTGTTTCAGACATAGTAAGAGAGAGCACAGTGAAAAGCACAAAGCTAAAGAGTAAAAAAAGCAATCATACCCAGAAACAAGAAATGACAAACTCCAGCCCTTCCTTGTATTATTTATTTGTGTTATTCATGACAGCATCTAAAAAGCAATGAAGATAAGGCTCCACAGTGCCAGACACTTGCACAAACAACAGAGAGCAGTTCTAAAGAGCTAAGATACAGACAGATCAGGCAGGAAGGAAAACCATACAGTAAAAAGAGAATAAATATTTTGCTATACATTATTTTCATGTCTATTTTAGTTAGGCTTTAAAATCAAAAACAAAGTCACGTGGAGCTGCAGATAGCAAGGAGAGAAGAAATTTGATGGAAAAGGAAATAATGGAATAGAAATGAAAGCTCAGATGGCAGCTGAAGCCTGGTTTAAGGATCAACATAAACCAAATAAGTAAAGTTTAAGTGGTTGCAAATGCCCCCAGAATGTCCTAAAATAGAATTATAAAATCAGGGTATTTCTCCAGGGTGAGAGGCTTAATTTAGCCTGAATTCACATAAATCATTGGTTTGACTGGAAAAAAATAAAACTTTTGAAATATGATAGCTGCATCTACTTTCTTATTTTTTACTAACATGAATGGCTTACAATAACACACTATGATTACTCAAAGGTATCAGTGAAGAACAGGCATTATGAAAGGAAAATCTTGTCAAATCCCTACACTGCATAAGTCTTTCCCTGCTGCATATACCATTAAATGTTATCACAGAAATAGCAACCGGGAGAAAAACTATCGTCATAAAATAAAACCAGAGAATGCCGTCATGGTGCATGACTTAACAGGTAAGAGCTTGGAGGCGCTGGATCACCGTATGACACGATGGGTAAAAAACAGAGAAAACATACTTTGATCTACTTGTACCTACAGTGACTTTGTAGGTTCATCGCTCATTAAAGAATATGCTTCTGCTCAGTGCTGAAATACTATAATCGCCTCTGAAGTATCATTTCCTTCCAGAGGCTGCAAACAACCTCTACCGTCCATTTCCAGACAGTTAACTCTGACACCTAAGCACGCTAGGTGCTTAACCTGCTCTTGAGCAGGCACCTTTACCCACTGCAGCACACAGGACCAGAGAGGCCTGATCAGACGTCACCGGACCCTTACTGTACCTCTAGCACTGCTGCCTCCGGCGGGTTAGGAGTAGCAACACTTGGCTAAAAGCCACTCTGCAGTCTGACAGGGAAGAGAGGTGAGAGCAGGCTACTCACTGCCCCAAAGGAGCCGGCACAAGGAGCAAGGCCGGGCGGGTAACCCAGTGCCTCGGGGGCCGGCAGGCAGGGCCTGGCCCGGCGCTCTCACCACCAGCGACAGGAGCCCCGGCCCGCAGGCCTGCTCCCTCAGCCAGGCGGCCCCTCGGCCCA